TCAAGGAGCGAGAAATTTCCGAGAGACTTGAGAGAGAATTGTCAGAAAAATTACAAAGGGAGTTGCAGGAAAAGCAAAACAAAGAATTAAAGGAGAGGGAAGAAAGAGAATTACAAAAAGAAAAAGAATTGGAAGAGCAACGGGAAAGAGAACGCCAGATGGAGTTGCAACGAGAGCGTGAATTACAAGAAGAAGCTGAACGCCAGCGAGAGTATCGCGAAAGACAGCTCCAAATGCAAAGAGAATACGAGTTGGAAGAGCAGCAGGAAATTGAGCGACAACTGCAACTTCAACAGGAGCGCGAACGTGAGCGTGAAATACTAGAACAACAAGAGCGCGAAAGGGAATTGCAATTACAACGTGAGCGTGAAATTCAGGAACAGGAAGAGCGAGATCGGGAGCATCGCGAACGACAACTACAAATTCAACGAGAGCGTGAAATTTATGAAAGACGTGAGCGTGACATCCAAGACTCTCGCGACCGCGCAACTCCTGAAAGACGTGACCGTGAATTCGGCCAACCTCAGACCCCGTCACCTCGCTCGTCTATACAAGTTCAAGCACAACAGAAGCCTTCTCGTCAAAATACGCCCCCCCAGATGGTTACTGTTAAGGACAATGTTCATGACTGGGTTGAAAACCAGCGTTCAACTGTAAGGGAATTCCGAGAGAACGATTGGAATGAAAAACACGTACGCGATGATGACTATGTACCTCCTAAGGACAATGATTGGAATGATAGGGATAGTGCAAGAAAAACTTCAAGAGACACTGACTGGGATAATCCGGGACGAAAGTCGTTGAGGGATCCTGAATGGTTCGACAAAGGTGGCAAGCGTGGTGGGAGCGACAGGGGAAGAGATAGAGATGTAGATAGGGAAGTGGATCGAAGTAGAAAAATCTCTAGGGAAGAATTTGATGAGATGAATCGGCGCGGTGGCCGTGAGGATTGGGAACGAGGGCATAATCAAAGGGATGAGAGGGGTAATTATCCGGATAATAATTGGTCTGAAAGGGAAAGACGCTCACAACGCGAATCACGGGATATGGATTGGGAGGAGCGAAACCAACGAGGCCGAAGAGGCCCGCGGGACCCTCGAGATCTTGATTGGGACGATAGAGACAGACGTCCTCTTCGCGATCCTCGAGATTCCGACCGGGATAATCGTGGTACTCGCGACCGTCGATTAGTACTTAATGAGCGGGAGAGATCTAATCCACGTGATTACCGTGACTCTGAGTGGGACGACCGTCGATATCCCTCACCGCGCGGATCACGAGATTATGAATGGGAAGAACGTGGTCGTCCTATTCGCCGGACTGTTCATGATCGAGATTGGGAAGCCCATAATGATCGCCCATCACCTCGCGAATATGATTACGATGACCGCGGTCGCCCGATACCGAGAGATCCGCGTGACATTGACTGGGACGAAAGGGCATCAAGACCTAGTGAAGGTGATTGGGACGAGAGAGGTAATAGAGGATTGTCTCGAAATCATCGTGAATTTGACAGAGACGACCGGTCATCACGTTACAGTGCGAAAGATATGAGGGATGAAAGAAGTCGGGTTTCGCCACCCGGGGGTGATAATAATGTACCGGATAACCATCAAAGGGCCTCCTTAAAGGAGGGTGAACGTGAATACGATGATGGACGTGCTCTCTCAAATGGGCCCAATAAAGCTCAAGACGATAAACCGTCAGCGGAAGGACAAAGACATTTAACTTCTCAACCTATGACACGAGTAGTGTCGCTTCCTCCTTCTCCTGAAGAATTAGGAATCACTGATGTGGCCGAAGAGTTGAGTAGTTTGCGTGAAATTGTAGAGAATTTGGACCTTGAAACGGATTCATTTGACGAGGTTATTGTGATTCCGAGATGATTGTTGAGAATTTATCGTCAATTTCGCTATTAACATTTTTATTTCTTTAGGAAATCGGCCTTGAAAAGGATGACGACTCTACTATTACTCGTCCAATTCGGATTACCGAAGATACATGGAAACAACTGGCATCGTTAAATAATAATGGAGAGAATGGCAATTTCGTTTATGATAATGTTGAAGATCGATCAGATGACAAAGCTGCAATTGAAGAGGGTGACGTTTCCGAGTCTCAACGAAAGACAATAACACCCAGTGACCAGTTAACGGACGCATCTCTGTTATCTTCAGCAATTGAGACGCTGGCTGAATCAGTTGGAACACTTAATACAGAGCAAAGTCAACCGATTGTTGGCGGGGCTGAAACTGAAACTGCTGGTATGTTATATTCGTTTATTCAATCAAGTTTACAGTCTATTATCCTTAACTCGACGCCCATTGGTTCCTCAATATCAGGCAGCCCAGTTCCTAAAGTTACGTCTGCTCGACAGAGAGCGCTGAGAAGGGATCGTAAGTGTTGACTAATATGCAAAATGACTGGGACAGATCTGGGATTTAACCTAATATTGCATCCATGTATAATAGGATTAGCCGGATCACCTGGGGCGATGTCTACTCATGAGAAAGGATTGCTTTTCCTGCAACTCCCTTTGTAATTTTTCTGACAATTCTCTCTCAAGTCTCTCGGAAATTTCTCGCTCCTTGA